TAATCCGAGCAAACGGGGACCCGAAATAGTGATTTTACTACCACCGAGTCTCGAATCCGCGCACTTCTCCCCGTGTGTGTTCGACTTTCGTCCGTAAGCTACACATACACGAAATACACAAGTGTGTGGGTGTGTGTGAGCCCTGAGCTGTATATATATATATATACACAGTTCTGTATAGCTTAGTGGCATAAAAATATTATACGATCGCCCGTATATAATATTATACTCTTCGTGCTCGGTATGTTTTTATTTCAGAAATGATGCGCTCGCGAGCAGACCAAACTGCTGCCGATCCGCCCTCGACAGCAGCACACGGAAAACGTGTACAATAAACGGTATACCTATACCTATGTGCACCGAAAGCGTCTTTTTATATATTATATACTTCCAAAGGGTCGTTTCCCGCATGGTCATCGAAAGAAAAAGAACAAGATTAGTTCATTAGCTAAATAGCACCAGAACGCTGTCGTATATAGACGCGAACATCGTGCAGTAAAAAACATACGCTGACGCAAAGAACCATATAAAGCGAATACAAATATATATATATATAAAAATACGTTACATTTAATACTAATATATATATATGTGTGTGTGTGCGATGAAAATTCGGACTTCAGCTGAGAGGTCATAAAAGCTTGGTGAATCCCCAACCCTGCAGCAGCGCTGGAAGAGCGTTCGAAAACCATAGATGTTCAAGAATAGTTAGGCAATGGATATTGAAGATAAAAACTATTTATATCACTGCCACTCAATCTGGCAAAAGTCTTATCATAATATATAAATATAAAATTATTCATAGATAAATTTCCGATAGATCTCTGTATTTTCTTGTTTGTTCCCGTTTGGTAATTACAAGTAAGCTTATCCATTCTATGATATCTATATCGAAAACCGATTGATGAAAGTCCGATTTAGATAACTATATATATATAAATAATTTTAATATTGTGAACCAAGGAAAAAAGTTAAATACAATCGATCCATGAACCCTCGGCCTACCCCCCGCCCATTTTCTGTCACTATAAGATAAAGTGATTCGTGTTAAATAAATCAATAATATTTAAGAAACCCGAACAGCTCCCGCCATACTATAATTAAATCGGAAATTTCGGTACAGTGTAATATTATATTATTGTATAAGAGAGCGAACGATTAGAATATTCATGAGATCCAAATTTCGAGTAACCGGTGTCCACGGCTGCAGGGTTACTGTCGGTAGTACCTATATACATTATACTTGTATTCATAGGTTAATATATTAGGCTCGACGAGATCCAGCTGGCTCTGCTCGAAAATCCACGACGACCATGCGTATTATATTGTCTTGTCACAAACTTGTAACGCGAACGTTGCACTCGAGTACAGTTTTCGCATAATATTATATTCGTAAAAATGATTTCGCTTGTAATAATAGATCGTAACGTTTTCACATAGACTCGGTGTTTCTCACGGGCGTCTATAATAATGATATACCTACAATACTGATGATGCTTTTCACACGGCGCCCTCTCCCGTCTTACATTAACGACGACACCTAGCCCGTTGATTGGATCGTTTATATCACGAGAAATACACTCGTTTACGAAATTTACGATAATATTATAAACCATTGATTGTCATCCGACGGCAAACCGCGACGTCCGGACGTCGAGTGTTCGCTACAGTCATTCACGACACAACAGTACGAGTATAATATAAAACAACGGCAAAAAATTCGGCTCGTACTTACCTATACGGCTGTTGGGTGCATTAAAATATGTGTAAATGCGCGTGCGATGAATCATAGGTATACCTACGATATAATAACGTTATGCTCGCCAGTATAATAATATACACAACGCTGTCCGCCGTGGTCGTAAAACGACCGTCCGAGCGGATTTATGTCGCGACCGTTTATATAACGAGCGAAATCCGACGGATCACACGCGAGGACGGAGGAGACCATTATTGTATTATTATTATTATTATTATTATTATTGGTAATGTCGTCCGATGCGTTCGTATTATTATACGCAGCTTTATCGCGAGAAACATCTCTATATCATCATCATCATCATCGTGCATGTATATATATGAGGTGCGATAAACACGTGGGAAACCGATGGCGGCGGCATTGATTAGTGTCTTTCCGATCGGACACACTTGTACACGACATAATAATATGTATTATACATATACGTGCACAGGCCATGGTTGTAATATGTAAATAGACGACGAGAGATGACTATATTATTATTATCACAACGAATGTAATATCCATGTTATGTATATTATGAGAATATAAGATAAATAAATATACCGAGATCGCATCCATCGGCGAACGCACGGGAACCCGAACAGACGCCCGAGTGGGAATAGTTAACTTCTATATTATTGAAATTGGGTTGTACGTGGTGAGGATGGGGGGGGGGGGGCTAAACTCGAGAGCTATGTCTCTCGGCGTGGTTATAGCAAAGAAGTTAGATGGATTTTTAAATTCGAGACTAAATAACTATACACGTTCAATACATCTGCGACTTTCGCTTATTGAAAAATATATTTAGCTTACAGATTGTGAAATATACTTTTAATGAACAATGAATATGATATCAAGACAGTCACTTAAGAACATACATTCTCGATAATAGTACAAAACATAATAGGTACTGTCTTTCACAGTGGCGTAACCTGCAGGATTATAAATTGGGGGGGGGGAGGGGGGAAAGTATGGTTCAAACTAAGTTTTTACAGTTTTCGTATATTATAAATAACTCAAAAAGCTACTGGCCATTGGTCTTTCATAGTTTCTAAATAATAATTATTTAAGGTCAAAGGACATGTCTGTTTGATACCATTCATAACTTTTTACGCTGCACTCGTATTGTAATTTGTAATTTTCTTTTACACACATACCTGGTTGTGTAATGTATTATATGTATTAGTATTTTGCTATAGCTTAAAGTAAACAATATTAATTTGTATACGATTACAATTTAATTATAAATGCATAATAATATAATAGGAGAGAATTAAAAAATGCTTTTAAAAGTAAAAACTGCTATTGAACGTTAATTGTTTTGCAAACTGTAAAAATAGAACATAATATACGTTTGCCATAGGTATATATAATATCATGAAGTTTATGTAGACATACTTAAAAAACCAAAATCAAGATGACGGCAACACCCCAACATTTCATACCCCCCCCCCTCCCCCAGCACTATATTAACGATACACGTGCGTTTACATAATATTATATACGTACCCAATGTCTGTTATATTCCACGTGTACCAAGTTAATAGATGTTGCGTGTGGCAAGTAAATCGATCATATTGTTCATTTTGACGAATTCTACATCGACGACATTCGTGGCACGATAATATTAAATTGAATCATGTAGCATATTGGCAAATACATAAGTGTACGGATTTAGGCCGGAAAAAACACCGAGTTTTGCCTCGTTTTCCCATTGGACAAATAGGAAATCTAAGAGGCCACTCTGTAAGAACGGTACCACAGCATCGTACCTGCACTTACAAGTACAAGTCGCTGCAATTATTTGGGACCACACGCGTATCGTCACGTCCATCGAAATCGGCCTCGGGCCGTCCGCGATACGATCGTCGTACAGCGGTAGACGCACTGCAGCGGGGCGAGGACAGCCGGACGATAATACTAACGTCAGAAAAATATTTTGAAACATTTCGATAACTCGCGGGCTTCAGGTAAACTGGATTGTAATCTGTATCATAATAATAATATAGTAATGATAATAGAATATTGTATCGCCGCCTCCGGTCTCTCTATTCCCGACAACGCGGCCCAATATTCCTCTCGTCGACCATTAAAATTCAGTCACTACAATATTATGCCTTCATATTATAATAACGGTGCGGTAATAATTGCTGTCGGGGGACGGTCCCCCACCCTCAGCTTATCGTCGTGGCGACGTCGTCGATAATACACCTCTCTACTGTACCTATATGCACGTTATATTTATAGGACACATAATTATCCGAACAGACCGCCCTGCAAAGTAGAGCACGTAAAGTCATACTGCCATATATATATATATATAGGTACGACTACGTTGTATAATATCTATCGTTATTTCGTACAAATTACTTCCACGCGCTACCGCGTGTGATGCACCGAGAGTATGAGCGGCGGGAAGGGGTTGATTTATATTATAGGTCCGTCCAGATATATTATGTATATATAATGTACGATGTGTGGTGTTTGTATATACATATTGTATATATATATATATATATATAGTTTTTATGACGACTGCACATAGTAATATACTCGTGTATTGTATACATAATACACTGCTGCTGCTAAACAATATACGAGACAGTCTGCAAAGACGTATTTTTTTTCCCCGATTCTCGAATATCCGTTCCGGAATTCCTATACGATGTATATTACTATTATGCCCGCAGTATATGCCGGCAAAAAATCGTCGAATAATACGAAATGTCCGTCACAAAAAATTAGAAATAAACTATAGAGGGTCGTCGGCATGTGTGCGCCGTGCGTGTTCCTTTTTTTCTTGCTGCAGGCTCTCGGCAGTTGGGCCGTCACACGCACACAGAAACGAAAAAAAAAAGGGATGTATAGACGACGAATAACACACACACACACACACACACACACACACACACACACACACACACACACACANACACACACACACACACACACACACACACACACACACACACACACATTCACCACACATATATGTGTACACGAACATTATGTCGCGCGTATAGGAGTGTTTTTTTTTCGGTCTCCCGCCCACCCCACGCCACTACGTTCGTCGGCCATTTCGGGGATTCGTCTCGCGTATTGTTCCATGCACGCACACACGCTTACACATAGACACATACACACACACACACACACACACACGTAAAAGTATGTGTGCGAGAGTTAGGCACGTCGTCCCCGAGACTGGTGCACCGGCCGCGTCTGGCCGGGCGTTTTAGTAGTTTTTTTTCGAGCCGTGGTATTGAAAATCCGCTAAAGGTCGACGTGCCGTCGTGTTCAGTATATAATATTGTACAGGCAAAGAAAGCAAAAAATAAAATACAGAAAAAAACATGGTTCCTTGGTCAATATTACTATTATGTACGAGACGTATTGTGTGATGCGACAAGTAAGCTTATGTTATATTATATTTTTATGTACCTATACTTATATTATACAACTTAAAATGTTATATTGTGATTCACGTATGAAATCTATGTAACTATTTTAATGAATTATGATTGTTTAATAGCCATTATACAAGATGAAAAACATCAGATTTTAATATAATGTATACTTATACATTCGAGAGACTGTATAATTTAAAAACTCTAAATATAACACTGAGAATTGGAATTAAATATACTGCATTGGTCGTTGAAATTGTTGGAAAGCCGTCATGATGCGCTTAAAATGGCTTTTGAAATTATATTTTTTTTCGGAATAAAATACTTCGATAGACGATTACCTGAGCTTGCGTCATAAGTTCAAAAATTACATCATCTTACCACTAATATAATATACGGCATGTCGTTACAATATCTATTGCCATTTGGCTTTTTTATTCGCACAATAATGATCTATGTGCCTCTAAGGTTTAGAGGCCTCTCTGAGTGCACAGGTGCTTTCGAGATTTGTAGAAGAGACTTTGGCACTCTTGTCAATTATATATTATTTACTTCGTGGGCGATATATATATAAGTTTACCACGGCTTAAACAAGATTCGTTACAGCGGACGTATATAAAATAAAAATGTTTATGCGCTTGAATATGGGCTTCTAACGTTTTACTGTAAGTATTTTTCGTGTTTTTTACTCGCAATCTCTAATTTAATAAAACATTCTTACTAGTAAGCTGTTGTACATTATATACACATACGAAATATATCAGTATACTTGCATCATGTGTTAGTACTGCGCGCGTATAGGTATACATAAAACCCTAAAATGTTTTTACCGAAAGTACATGTGTAATACGCGCGCTCAAAGCACAAGCGCTTCGTAGTATACTTTGAGCGCAGTTTACGATTGGACACTTTACGCAGGTGTGTATATAGGGTGTGGTCCATACCAACCTACCACCCGGGTATCACGGTTCGATTGCCGTGCACCCTGTATACACGTGTCGCCCTGGACTCGATATCGTCATACGAAAACCCTTTATAAATGTTACCTACAACCCCCTTCATATCGAATAGGTAGTATTATTATTAGATATTAAGCTGTTTACGTTGTAATATTGCCATAGAGACCGAGCAAACAACGCCCGTAACACTTTTTGGTCGCAACGGCTGAGCTCACGAATCCGACTTATTCCGCTACCACGCCTAAGTTTCACTTCAACAATATCACTGCAGAATTCCCCCAATTAATCTTATTCCACTACTTTCCACTAGTTTCACGTGCGTGATCTGGCACAATCGGTTTTTATATGATATTATAGTTCGTATTGTCGCAGTATTGTATATTTTGCAATCGGGACTCGTTGTTCAGCGATAGGAGCAGACTAAAAACGAACAAGTTGCATCATTGTCGCTTGCCCTTCGCCAACCCGGCGTGGTGACGTAAACGTCGCCGTATATAATATATAAACTATGATATGCATTCATTCTTCGTGAAAGGGTAATGCACAAATATACTCGTTGTATAAGTACATCGATTCGGATTCATCTACCTGGGTTCCCAGACTCGACGAGGTTAGGAAAAAAACCTTTCTTGCTTCTCGCCGTTATACCTGTTCGCAATAATAATGCTCACCGACGCTAAACAGAGGGACACGATAATTGATTTCTTTACATTTTCTAATAAAATATGTAAAGTTACAATAAAGCATCCTTAAAACGGATACCTCATAATGCCGAACAACAGTCCCGCGAGTATATTATAATCTACATCCCGTGTATTTTAGTCTCCCTTAAACTCCTCTATAGTGAACACACTAATTGATATCGAGCGATTCTGTTATGACGAGGTTTTACTTAATATACACGCGTTTGATGTATACACTGTAGCGAGTACACCGATGGACGTCAAATTGCGCTTAATGGCGTCCTATTTATTTAGTATCGTTCGAAGCAATATGTTAAATATTTATCGAAAGCGATCGTGATTATTTTCACTATTTGTAATTTTCCTAAGGCTAATTACAACAAACGTATAGACACGCTAGTGGCACAACTACCCTATATCGCGTCTCTCCTAAGATCTTTACCCGCAGATAACGTGTAGGTATAATTTGGTATACAAAATAATTATTAATTTGTATCTCCCAAGGACGACGCCCTAGTCCGTACCTATACATATTGGAAATATGTGCTAATTCATAGACCTTTGACCATAAGTCTATATGATATCAAGGCATATGCCTAAGCAATGAGCTATGTGTTTAAAGTTTAAAAGGTTCTGATGTTAGTGCATTACGTTTAAGAGGATGTCAGAGCACTATTTGTTTTCTTTATTTGATTCACGTGCAACATACCAAATTTACGTTTAGCAGAACCAGACATACTTTAAATATTAGAGTGAATTCACTTATTATGAAATTTTGAATTAAGAATATTACCTGTATCCCTGGCTTGGCTAATATATGATATTTTTAATTTGTATGAAAGTTATGAGGGTGTAAATTATTACAATTTAAAAATGCTCTTATAAATTGTATAAAAACAGCCATCGTATATGATCGTCACAGGGAATGTTCTTCGCTTAAAGTTTTGCTAAAAGGTCAATTCGTTCCAATATTAAAAGTAACAACACACAGAGTCAGTAAACATGAATTTGCTGTGTCTCGGTGCTTCTGCTGGGAAAGAAAACAAATGGTGCGCTGACATCATCATAACCTGTAGGACGTTAAACTATTTTGAGTATTTTTGATTTTTAAGCTTTTAAGCGGCATATTATAGACTCCGTTGGTAATATTCTACGGTTTTACAACAACGCGCCGATCAAAAGTGTAAAAAAAACAGTGTATTGGTCGATAGTCATTCCGTATACGTTCGGCGGTGTGGTTCAAGAAGAAATCGAACCTTCCATTCGAAGACCGACGAAAGATGCGATGATGCGGTGTTCCGATAGTGTAGTGCGTGCCTATAGGTAACCATAATAATATTATTATTACATTATTCCATTTCGTTTTGGCCGTTCGCGGGAGCCATTTACCTACACGCGTTGCCAGTTCGGCGGGAAAGAGACGAGAAGTAAAAAACCGCCGGAATTTACATATTATATTATGCATTATTATCATCACACACATAATATATATTATTTTTAATCCGATTTTCTGTCACGTCGCGATGTTGTATAAAATAATAATATGTATTATTCATGTATCGATGCATTATACTACGTTAGGTACGACGACGACGACGACGAGGACGCCGCCGCACAACATCGCGTCTATTATCACACCTGTATATACCTACCCATGTCCCGTACACATATTATTATTATAATTATTAAATTATACGCCGCAGTATCTTGTTGCACGACGACGTGTCGGCCGAAGTGTGAGCGTTCGTGTTTTTTTCCCCCGTCCGTTTAATATATACGTCTAATTAAGATATTTTCGAAATCTCGGGGATAGGCGATGGCCATATAGACAATCCTAAATACGTCCTATTATAAGGCCCATAATGCGTTTACGGTACATACGATTTCCAATCACGCGCGTCCTTTATACATTAGAAGATGCGTATTATAATAATAATAATAATGATAATAATAATTTATACGATTTAGTCGTAACGTATTACATTATTTTTACTTAGGTATACAGGTATCGTTTTAATAAATAGGCTCCATGTATGTGATGGTCGGTCGGTCCGGTCGAGCACAGGTTATAATATGTTTAGGAACCACGGCTGATGGGGGTGGGGTCGCGTGCAGTGATTGCGTGTGGAGTTTCCGGGGAGAGGGGGGTCTTGAGGGGAGGGGGGTGAACCTGAGACGGATTTTTTATTCAAATTCGACGGACGCGCTGCACGTCCGCGTAAACGCATCATCACGCATACCTAGTGCGGGCGAGAAAATTCCGGTTTTTTGGGCGACGACATCGTACTATGACATACCTATCCCCCCCTCTCTCTCTCTCTCTCTCTCTCTCTCCGTATATATTATTATAATATGTTGTGTGTATATTGTTATCGTTACATCACATATTATAATATGTGTATAATGAAGACTGCACCGAAGTTCTCAAATTAAGATAATAATATTATGCTTATTATTATTCACCTATTTATGTGATGCTTTGTAGGACAACTCGCAACTATTGGTCCAGCGTGGAGCCATCGTGACGACGTCGTTATTATACTTAAAATAGTGTAATACGCGGCAGTGGATGACCGTTTGTACATGTATTGTAGATATAATATAATATTATATATTATTATTACCAAAGCGTATCGTAAATGATTTAATATTGTGTAGATATTATAATAATAATATAATGAAACCTGCTGCACCATGATTAAAATGTGTATAATAATACTGTGTTTTCGGATTTTTTTTTTGTTTAATTAAACAACTCCCTTTTTATGTAGCTCTCTGCCTCTCCACCGGATAGAGTATCACGACGATAGTATGATAAATAATAATAATAATAACTATTATTACCTATGCTGCATGCACTAAAATCTAATATGATATATCTGTGAATTCGTGTAGTACGCCAAGTACAATATATATTTTTATAACGACCAGATTGCACGCTCGACGTCGTGCAGTTGGCTCGTATTTTTTGGGGTTTTGTTTTTTGACCTTTTTTTTGATCATTTGCGCAGTAACTTGTTTCTCGGTTGCAGACTTTGGGCACGCGATAAGAAAATACGCATGTCACGAGGGTAAAGCTTGAAATTAATGAGTTGAAAAGTTAAAAGCCGCCCGAGTCACCGCTGCTGAAGTTTTTGTTTCCGCGACTTTTGGCTGCATCAAAATAATATTATTACATCGTTGCGTATATAAATAATAAATATATAATGCACTACGACTTACATTATGTAAGCCGTAATGGACGGCCATTTTACACTCGACGAAGTCTCTCGGGATAATACCTACTTATATTTTTGAGTGTATTTTATCCTAGCATTAAAAAACATATATTTTTCTTTACGTTTAAATTAAAAACAATTTGACTTTTACAAAAAACAAGTAATGCATATGTATAAAATGTGTTCGATACCATTAAATTCGATAGATGTCCATTCAACAACCCCCTAAGAAATTGTGGTCAAATGACATAATGATCTGCTTTGCTTGCATCAACAATAAGAATAAATTATAATATAATAATATTGTAGAATAAATATCAACTTGTGAAATATGCATATGAGTATATAATATAATTTTAAGTACCGTCTATGGTAGAAGCCGGATTTAAGCTATTTTAATGGTTATAGTTCATTTGAGAAAAAAACTCATAGGTCCTAGGTAACATATTATATCGCTTTGAATCATGTAAAATATTGAACTTAATAATTGTATGGTGTACAAAAAGGTGTTATACTGTCTCTCGTTATCGATGTTTAGAAATACCAAGTAAGTAATAAAATTATATCCTTTAACAAAGTTCAAAATGCAATAATTGTACATCACCATGTTTAGACAACCAAGTACCGAAAACTTGATAAATAAAATAAAAATTCCTTTCAATGGAACTTGACTTGAACCTAACTACATTTTTCAATTTACCCAGAAATCGGTATGGGCGTTACGAGAGACATTATAATCAATGTGACATAGACGTCTATAAAGTAAATGTGTGAGGGCACGTATTATGTCAGCAACAAATGACAATATTATGATTCTCGCTGACTTTATTAATTAATCCGTTTATTTTACATAACACCACGGTACGGGTAGCACGAAACAATTTTCATGTACGATGACAGCCTGCTCTGAGCCACGAGTGTAAATTAATCAACGTAATTAAGCATAAAAAGTATTAACATTATTTTTAACGTGTTAGCAGATAACAAAACTGTAACATAAAATTGTGTACGCAGGGTGATTTCCCACGAGAGTTTATACTAAGTTTGAGTGGATTTCATAATGTTATCACAAAACACGTCATTCAAAATGTATAGCTATCTCTTGGCGAGTCACCATCACGACATCCGAATCTGAGACCTTGATTTTGAAATAATATTACAGTGAAAACAGATTTATAGAATACTACTATTTGATACTTCATTCGACATAATTATATGCAACGTGCGTTGCAATATAATATAAAATTATTCAATATTTCCATTATTGAATGGATCGATTATGTAACGATGTAATATATATGTGTTACAATAATCTGCAGCGTTAAGTCATCGTCACGGTACAAACATAATATACAATGTTATCACTTATCAGCGTACAAGGATGTATATACATATATAATAACATTTAGATACCAATCATTTAATCACAATACGTCAATACCTACTGTGCAATATGTTATAGCTGTATTCCTATGTGCATTATGCCTGTATATAGTATGAAAACTTTTTGCAATACTCTCGAGCTTATTCAATATTTCAATTTTGTTTCGGAGTGCTTTATTTAATAATAATTTAACTATTGAAACGTTATTTAAACGGCTGCTGCCCGACATTATTTACCTGTATGCATATTTTCATAATAATAACTATATTTGTTCGAGTAACACAAAGCTAATTAATGAATGAATCGCATATAAAAGTATAATGGCACATTCGTTTCGTTGATTATATTATATTACAATAATATATAATCAATGATTCATAAGTCTTAAAATATATATCAATACATCAAAATCAATATTAAAACGCAGTTAATAATAACTATATTTGCAGCATGAATGCATTTTATATATTTATGTCATAATTATAATACATAGGTGTGCCATAATGTCGCAATCGCATGTACGCCCCTACACTATACAATATATTGTATCCAACGTACACTATAATTTATAATATAGAAATTCTATTATTAAACCTTAAATAATAAATTAAATTTGGATACATAAAACACTAACAAAGTTATAAACGTAAACGCTATGTTATAATATGCAGCGTTATCGAATTTGTAGAAACACGCAAAGTTTTAATCGTATAAGATATTATTATTAATTATTTTACATAGGTATTTAAATGTATAGTAACTGCACTATTAAATAATCTTAATTACTCGTTTTATGGTGGTCCGCGTTTTGCAAACGGCAGCTCATATTATAATATTATGTTTATGTACATTCAATATTGTCTAATAAAAATATAAATCGCGACGATGTTATAGCCGTTTTATATTGTAAATACATCTGTGATCCATTAATAATTACAATTACCCTATAAAGTACCTACCTATATAATTTACTCTACACCTAATTAAATATTATTATGTATTGTGATAGACATAAAAAGTATATATATGTATAGTTGTCGCAAACATCGAGTATACCGGTATACGAAATATTTTATTGTTATAAGTCATTCTTTTCGTGAGGGATTACAATTATTTAAAATTGTATTTTATCGTCTTATTTATTTCTACCGTTTAAATGTATAATATTAAATTCTATCAATTATTGAAATGTTAAATATTTGAAAATAGGTACGTTTAATTCAACAGTGTTTACTGGATATTTGGACTAATAAACATTCATAAATTGTTTGTTGACAGATTGTGTAAGACCTATGAGGTGCTGAACAAGAAAAAAATTTAAGACGATATCGTTCCAAGTGTGAAAATGAATGTACAGTCCCATGAGCGAGAGGTGGTTATATACACAATTCACTACGGTCCTATAATACGATCATTGAGTAGAAAAAAACAGTATTTTTTCTTCCTAAAAACCATCGTCCAAATGATGAGCAGAAATCAATTCGAGAAAAAAAATAATCAAAATAACTATGGTCGAAAAAAAAAGGTTATCGACGCGGACAAAGCGATGGTGGGACGATCCGTCTGCACGCGGATGCATTATGGCGTGTGAGAAAAACATGGTTGACATCGTTTTGAACGTCGCACGCGCGTGAGTGTGCATGTGTGTGCGTGTGCGTGTGTGTATGTGTGTGTACGCTCCAAGTGTTATTATATAACGATGTATACTATAATATGGAACAGATCGACCAGTGGTCGCTCATTGCAGGATAAACCACCGCGCTCGATTAATGATGAGTTTCTTATTTCTTATTATCTAATAATATCATCGAGTGTGTACCCAATGCCTGTGTGTATAATATACAATCAGTGCTAATATATTATATATAAATATTAAACATGATCGTCTTGCAGCATATAAGTATATTATGTAATATCGGGGAACGTAAGACCGTGCACTTGAACACACACTGTTTCCAAAATATAGGTATGCGAACTTGCCCTCGCAGCTGCGAACATACCGCATGTGGTATACGTTGCCCATCGGTCCGGAACAAGATCGTTAATGTTAATAGTTTAGTTCTTATAGTTAAAAAAAAATGATTTAAATAAACGTATCTTAAATAATTATTATCGAAAACATTGTAGTGCTCGCCCCTATTTGGCTCGCGAATAGACAACAGGGACTAGTGAAGAAAAAAAGAAGCAATTATTCTGAATGATAGGTGCATTACATGCATAATAATATATTGCGGGTGGTCTGTAGATGTATGCTTTCTGTGATAATTTAAAATCTTGTAGCTTAGCATTTTTTTTTTCTGTAGTTTTTGATGAAACTAAAATTTAACTAAATTACGCCCATGTCGTCGTGTTTTTTCGGCACGTTACTTTTTTGGATAAGCGTGTTGCGTATCTTTAGGTATGCGGAGACCACCGTCGCAGTCGTGTCTCGACTCAAAAACACAACGTATTATTACAATATAGCACCTACGCAATAAAGTGACTGTACAATGACAGAAATAATATCATACACGTACAATAATCGTCTAAATATGTTAGGAACCATACGCACCTATTTATAGTGCACCGGTCTAAATAAAAGCATGGTAGGTAGCGCATAGTTGTACGTATAGTATATTTTATAATATCATATAAGTATTATTAAAATAACGTTTCGCAGTGTGGGGCAACGCTAACGTTACGTATTTATTGTTATAACTATCATTACATATAATTCAGATTATTAATATTGTAATATTAAACTGTAAAACTTTTTGAGTACCGTTTATATATATATTATATATATATAGATAAGTATAAGTATAATTTTACATTATAGTCGTAAGCGTTGACAACCTCCATTGCAATGATATTTTCTTCTATTATAATAGTCATAGGTATATTATTATTTTTGCGGAGCGTAGGTAGGTATATATATATATAATATATAGGTATATATATATATAATATATTATTATTTTTACTGTTCTTAATTTTTTCATGACACGTAAACGTAATAATATTACATTATTATATGGTGTAACGCGAAAGCGTGATTCTAGGTTTTTTTTAGATCTACTACATCGTGTACGTTGTTGAGGTTTAATTTTAACGTTGCGCCGCTTCAAAGCCAAAATATTTATATTTATAATTATTCTAAATTCACAATGTGATAGCGAACAAAAAGGGCAGCTACACGTCTGTCCGCCCTTTAAGATGAATCATTTTAAACCGTACGCTAATTATACCTGACCGATTCGCAAAGATATTATAATTTGAAATAATATAAGTAAAAAAATAATTTTGTAATTCTCATTTTGCCACATTTAAAACAGTCGTCTTACCGTCTATTTGAAAGGGAACTTTTGTTTTTGAAGTTTCGTTAATTATGAAAATCTTAAGGATTAATATTTAAAAAATAGTAGGGAGTATTTTAATTTAATATTTTTTTCAATCCACCTGACAAAAATGTTCACTCCATTGTGCGGGCATGTACCTACACTTTCGTCGCACTTCAGTTCTTATATGTAGGTACAATATATATTATATATATATATTACATTTTTATCTCAACAAGCGTTCTGGGTCGAGGAAAATTGATTTTGCACTCTCCACGCGTAGCAGGTGACATCATAAAACGCTGTTGCCGTAAACGTTGACTTTGACTCCTTCCCCCCCCCCGGTCTCGTCCACGGCCCCTCGGGGGATACGGTTGATTGGAAGAAACTTCTTCTCCTCCCACCACCGAACACAATGCGCGTATATATAGGTTCACGGTATACGCCTGGGACTTTGTGTGCGAGTGTTTGTGTGTCGGAGAAATCATTTTCTCTGTCTCACGGCCCATGCGAAACCCTTTGGGAATGGCAGCGGGATTAAATTTCCGCTTTCCGCGTCCGCTCTTGTACATATATACACAATACCCATATACACCTGTGCGCACTTATGTTCTTGTATATATATATTTATAGGTGGTACAGTACGCTTATATATACAGGCACTCGGCGCGAAACGCTGCAACGCCGTCGATCGCAGAGCGGATTTTCGTCTTGGTTTTACGATATATATATCGTCCACGGAGGCGTCGGCGGCGGGACGGGGGCAGCCATACCAATACCTACCTACAAGCTACGTTTATTTTTCTTTCCACCTCCGCACCGGTGCAGTAACGCCGAGCGTTCGTTTGTTTTTCCCCCCCCCCCCTCCCCGTACATAAGACGTCTCGAACCGTGTTGGTTTTATTATATCTACCACTCGCCCCCGAACTATACGTATATATATGTATGTATTGGGTATATTGGATAAACTCTCGACTTTCGCCGGTTTCTATTTTCTGACGTATATTTATGTATATATATATATAGGCGGTATACGCGAGCACATAAGGTAAAATGGCGTTTTCCGATTTCTCGAGTTTATCATACCTTGTATTATACCTATACCTATGTACGCATATATAAATACTGAGTATAATATATTGTGTAAGCAGGTATATACATCACGATTTTGCTGCTGCAGTAATTCGATTTTACGATTCTCGCGCGATATCGAAACTCACGAATCTGCCCCGCCCGCTCCCCGCATACTAAAGGGTTGAGCCTATATATTATATTTGTATACGGCTATATTATAATCGTTTTCGTCGAGAAACAGCGAAACGCGCCCATAAAATTTCCAATCCTTTGATTCGAGATAGTATAAAATAATAATATCGAGTACGAGTTTTTTTTTTATGTATAAAAAAATATTTTTCATCTCGCATACTATCACAATATTGTACACGGCGTCATATAATATTATATATTTATACGGGTTCTGTATATATACGGCATATACACGAGTTGCATTAGCCGGTGGCGGCGTTTCGAATATAGGTGTATAATACATAATAATATCCTAAACAAAAACAATGCCGAGACGGACCGAACCGTTTTTTATGCGGAATTATATTGTGTATCGTTTTTTGTATATAGTCCGTGCTCTATGTACGTTGAATGGTTTTAAGTGGCGGCCACTGCGCGTCACGCATTGTCGATTTAACATTCATTAATCCTTAAATGCACCTATATACACAATCAATAAAATGTGTACAACAATAGAATTAACAGTATTTTTGCACACTCCGAAATAGGAAATCGGGCCGACGTGAAAACATCAACATTTGTGGCCTATAATAGACTGTTCATACAACTCGTTATTCCTCCAAATAACTATATAATATAATATTCGCTTGTCGAATAATACAGACCGTGGATGAGTATAAATGCAGAATATTATTAATGTTCGCAAACCGTGACTAAGTATATAATAAAATATCGAAATCGTGAGCATATTGACATACGCTCATTATTTTTTTTCTGTCGATCCGATTATATTGTCCCTAGGTAAGTTCTCGTTTTCAGACGAAATTCATTAAACATAAAAATATTTTTTTTAAATGTTTGAAGCAAACTTATATTTAGGCGCCATTATATTGCACCAACTAGCATATATTGTATTATTATAATGATGTGTAAAAAAATCAATATTTCTAATATTGTAATAGGTATAGAGGTATTAGGATTTTGGTTTATTGGCCCTTTATTGTTAAAGAAAAAAATCGCTGACCAATCGAAATAAAATGTTTGGTTATTGTTTCCTTAAAAACTGTATTAATTGGTATCCTAAAAAATGATATTATATTCATGTACGTTTTACCTATATGGTGTATATAAATATAATATGTCAATGATGATAAAAACAATTTTACACAAGTCAAATGCTAATACAAAATATGCTTTTTATGATGTTATTAAACACGCGCACGCGTTTAAGCATGGAATTAGAACCTCGTATTATAGTACGATACCTAGACTATTATAGAGGAGTGGTTTTTCTCGGTCGTAATTAATTATTATTATTCATATTGGAATTATTATACGACGTTGTTTCAAAATTATTTTATCGCGCTAATAAATTGACCGGGACGTTTCATTCAATATGGTATAATATATTATTATAATGTGTGTCTACGGTTTAACGGCGTCAATTGATGTTAAATAACTGTAATTTGAATAAAGTGCAATAATTGATGGCGTACGCCGAGATTTGTCATTGGTATTATAATACGTATGTGTTATATATATATATAACCATTCATTTAACTGGAAATTATACGCACACACACACACACTACACATCTATATATTCATATGTATAGGACATGGTCATTTGTAAAACACTTAACATCACTATACAGCACTGCAACGGTTATACGACCCAATAAAAAAGTAAGAGATTTTAAAAGTCTAACACTATGATACAACTGCACGTAACGATGTGTGTAGTATATTTTTGCACATTGTCTTCACTGCTCGTATATATCTAGATTGCATACACCTTTGTAGTACAATAAATTATAGGTATGTATAGTAAACTTATTGATGAAATGAAATAATTAATAAAACATATATTTAACTCTCATTCTCTGCTCATAATATTATATAAGTACTTGAATTCGTCAAAAGAGATTTGAAACAGGCACATACCTTATTTGTCGTTTTTTAAATATCGAATTTTGTAATAAAACAGTCTATTTATGAATCGCATATTGCACTTAAAAATACATATCATAAGAAAACTTTTTTTTTTAAATATTAATTAAGTAGGTGTGTAATCAGTGCCTCATTTACAATAATGTATATTCTAGTGGGTGTTATAACTTAATTTAAACAATTTTTAAATGCACAACACCATTTAATAAATATTAAATACAGCAGATGCTTAAATGTTTATATTTATTCAAAATATTATGTATTTAATAGTTTATAGATTACGTTGCAGAACATTATTGAGTTACTGGTAATGTTATACTGGTACATAGTTAATGGTACCCACCCACCGTCATAATTTATATTCAATATAGTAATATCTGGCTTAAAAAAATCTAATTCGTTAGCATATTATAACTATAAAATGAACCAAATTATGATGATATAAGAATATTGTGATAATATTTTAGTTCATTTTACAATAAAAACAATTGGATTGATATTTTTCGCAAATACATATTAAATTTATCACAATTTCGATTGCTCCTTAAATAAGACTATTTAACATGTTTTTATATGTGAAGGTATGTTTACTATATTATATACAATATTCGGTCACTCATCTACCGAAAGTCTTATAGACAATTTTAATGTAAACTTTAAGTGTGTGACCCGCACATGCAGTGTGAAGTAGTATTATTATATCTATGCATATTATAATGATTGGATCTTTGAGTTTCATAATGCTTCTGGAATGCGATATGAGATTACTTACTTAGTAAGACATCAAATATTAAGGACATCGTTCCCTATACATATATATATAATATAACGTGTATAACGTGTGAGTGTGTGTGCGTATGTGTATGTGTGTGTGTACACGAGTGTGGAATTGTTCGGGTTGTATTGTTAGTTTTTTTTTTCTCTAAGCGACTATTGTCGAATACTCAAATACTCTGATCCGTCAATACGTTTTTTTGGAACGCGCGCTGGAATATCTAAAATATAACGTTCATAATATATATAGGTATATATAGGTATATAATAGGTGCCTATATATGAGACGAAAACAATGGGTAAATAAATCGCGGTAGACCGTGATCGTCGTCATCGGCGGCGATCGGCGAGACCGTGTCCGAAGTGTGTAATACGACAAAAACACGAAAAAAAAAAATAATACAAATAATAAAAGACCAAATACTAATAGAAAAAAAAAATAAACAGTGGATATAAGGCCTTAAACACGAGTCGGAAGCACGCGGGGCAAAAGAAAGAGTGAAAAGAAAATGGCATGCTTCCAGAGGAGACTAAAAACTTACTACCGTCCGTCCGACCATCTGAATTACCAATTCAAATGATGTACTACGCACAGATACATACCACAGCCGCATTTAAGCTCCGGCCGAGTAATCCAGCCCAGTCGTAAATCTGAGGTCACTGTATACATACATATTACAATATATTCCGTACAACATTTATACATATAAATATATATATATGGTGTATTGGATTAAGACGTGTCTACCAGTCACCCCACCCTAAGGTTCCAAATAGCTATCTCTCACTCTATATTCTCTTACTTTTCTCTCTCCCACACACATACACCCCAATCACGGTCACTTATTTTATTCGTCGACCCGAACCTTTCCAGTTTGTTTATTATTTTTCTTTTCTTGTTTCAGAATTATAATTCGGGCAGACGTCGGCGTCATCGTCACCACAATACGCCGCCACCAACCACGACTAAATGTATCTCAGATGTCCCGCAACCAAAATCATCATTGGAATTTCACCAGGTCGAAGGCGCAAGATTTCTCCTCGGGCAAGCGAAAAACGCGAGACTTCATTTCAATTATTTAGACGATTGCAGGCCGCAGCCCAAGACGCGCCTTCCTCAGCCGGAATTTATGCTCATTTCCGACTTAATTGTCATTCCTCACAAGATAATGGAAAATTAAATTCGTCCTTTTCGCAGGACAGAATATTTGCATACACGTGGATATACATAATATGTCGTACACTATGCTATTAATATTGTCACGAAATTATGATTATACTTGCAGAAAAAAATGATGTCATCAAGCGGTGATTGAACCGTAGACATTTAATTGCCTGTTGCTTAAAATCGATTAATTTGACATAATATTGATTAAATAACCATAGTGTTTCTACTACGCACAGCTAAAAAATGTGAAAAGGAGAAACAGCATTCTAATCTAACTCTCTAAGTTAGCACTTATTACACTTCCTACTACAGTTATCTTCAGGGGGTTAGCTTTTGGAGAGCATATTCAGACAAAACACATTAGATAGACGTATCCAGTACTGATGTACAAGTGGTTTAGCTATTTGTATAGGTATTTAAACACGATTCCTTTGTTCTCGTTTTGATGCATTAAATAAACGATTTATATATTTTAAGTGTTATATGGATAATAATAAAAAATATACACATTAAAAAGTATTTGGTAACATTCAGATACCATTTAAAGTTATAGTGACCGTATTTTTTGGTAGGCGTAGGGATGACCATATAACATAATATATAGGTGCGAGAACCAAACTTATTTTGTTGTCAAAATGATGTCGATGTAACCAAAAAAAAAAAAAAATGGTTTTAATTTCTACCAACCAACATATTATAGTTCCGCCAACCATACGCTACAGTTGTCCCAACCTACATGTATAACCTACATGTATAATAATTAATTGTAATTTGTAATACCTACATTGTACTTCCAACTATGTATATTATGAGGTAACTAGCTTTCTCTGTAGTATATATGTACATATATATACATCGCGGGACTATATTGATTACAGTTTTGTTGTTGCCGTGTCTTAAAAATTAGATTACTGTTTGTTTTTTTGTATACATTTTACACTTTTCGTGTATAATTTACTGTGTAATATGTAACAATACGTGACTGAATAGTTACTAAATATTTAGTAAATTCATTACACACACACACTCACACACTCACACACACCCACACACAAGCAATTGCTGTAAGTGGACTCCCGCTTGATATGTAATATATTTTATATAACTCGATTGATTGCAACGATAACCTTATATACCTACACAGTTTACGTCTGTTCTTCAAATGTTACGCTTTTATTTTTATTTTTATTTTTTTCACCGGCCGACGTTCTTTTTCTATACGACACTTTTAGGTCGATTAGTGTTTAAAAATTCAATTGATTTAACTTCCATACCTGTGGAATGCATTGCGTATAGAAATTAGAGACCAAAAACATAATCTAATGAACAATAATCATCCAACCGGTTCACCAGTACTTCATACAACATTGCTGTGAAATGTTTGAACTGATTTCTGGGTTGTTATTTGTAGGTATACGGTTTGGCTCCCAAATATTATATTATTTTAAATATTTCTTTTGGCTTTCTTTTCATTGTCGATGTATAACAATTCAATAACTTTTGTAACTTATATTACACTAACTATAATGTAATACATATTTGGATTCTGTTTTTTCAAAACTTTTATACTCAATATTTGTCAGATATCGTGTTAAATTTTTTTTCACATTTATTCTGGACATTAATCACCGCGCGCACAGTATAACCATAATTCAATAAGAAGAGTGCACCTATTTAAACGGTTTAAAACGATAAAACTGTTAACAGATACTGCACGACGTGTGAATTTATAATATTTATATTTCTAAAACTGTTTGAAAGAGTGCACGATAAAGCATAATTGTCGTGATATATTATTATGCTTTGCAGCCTTGCAGGTATCGTTCAACTATTGCATAATATTTATGATATTATTAAGTTTATAAATTCGTTGCAGACGCTAGTGAAGAGACCAACGTGGGGTTCGGCTAGCGGGTCGTCGACGTTTTTTTTTTTTTTAGTGTGCTCAAATCACACTTGAGCATTCTGATTCTTCGCGCACCCAAAAATAGTCGCATCGTGAGGTAATAATATCATACTCAATTTAATAACATCAGACTGCACCTTAATCGCCTATAGCTCCCAAGTGCGTACAAAATATTAGTATAATATACGATAAGCGCGCTTACTAAATACGATCGGCGTGTGCAGTGTAACTGCACCGCGGGCGTGAGCGATAAATAACAGTTTTTTTGTTCCTCCTCTATGATCCGCTCGCGTATTATATACTATTCTGATGTGTACACCGTTCGAGCAGCTCTCTCTCTCTCTCTCTCTCTCTCTCTCTCTCTCGTTCTATCTCTGTCCTTCGTTTTGAACTCGGCTGCAGCGTGAATAACACATATAATATAATATTAAATTATATTTTTTTTCTCTGGCTCAGTCGGATCCGCCAAATGCTCGCAGTCGTTGTCGTAATAAACTCTCTCGCGGCGGGCGCGGGGCGTGTTCCGCGTGCAGCGGTGTTTGTAATATGCGTCGCGTCAAAGGCTGCGTATACGAGAGGTATATACATAATACTGCATCAGACGAGAGACGAATGTAAGAAACAAAAAAAAAAAACATCGTCTGGCTGCGTTCCAGTTCGAAACAGAAAGAGAAGAAAAATTAAAACCGTATACCACCCGAGTGAATAGCGTTAGAGCTGAGAGTTTAATAATAATATATGTACGCCACTGCATTATATATTTACATATAACATACATAAATATCATATAATATATGATAATATACGTATGTACATTATACACGATACATCGCGTGATATCGAAAACATTGTTTATACACCGAAAAAAAAAAATTACCGTCGTGCAATTGCACTTTACAGTATATAATAATATACTAATCGATTGCGATAAATTCATATTATGTGATGCGGTCTCGTGTACATTATATACGATACTGACATCACTCGAAATCGCATTACCATAAGTCTTATACCACATAGCCGAGTGAGGTAAGACGAGGGGTGGTTCGCATTCGGTTATTTTTAAACACAAGTAACTACTTTGTAAAAATATATAGATTTAAGTATCAGCTACTACTATGGTGCAGTTTTGGAAGTCGCTTCAGAATCACAACACACCTCGTCGTAAGAGCCCTGCTACAGCTTGTTTATTATAAAATATGTACCTACACAACGCTTTTATCATATGATTGTGCTAAAAGACAATAATATTAAGTGTCATAAATTATAATATTATAGTTTTTGTTATAGATATTACTTGAAACATCGTGTTTATAACGTGTCTTGGATGACGGAATTTATTAAAATTGTAATTTATTGAAACAGACATTTATCACGTCCTTTAATTCATCTTGAAGCATTATTATTATATAATATATTATGCCAAGTATAATAACTCTTCAGAAACTTTGAAAAACTATTTGATATTTATGGGTACCTCTTATATGAATTATTATACTTTTGTTTCTTATACAATTACATAAGTAGAAAACCATCGAAGTCACTCTACTGTATATAAGGTGTAGACTTTTGAATGTATACCTTGTCATTGAGTTTAGGTGACACCATCATATTTATTATACCTATAATATTGAAGCACTTATTATTAATAAATAGGCTGGAATTGGAAGTGTTCAAGTGTGCAGTAAGGATTTGATAAATGTGCACTAGTACAAGAAAATACATACAAATTAGGTATAGGTTCGTCAACTTGCCTTACAACAAAAATGGACTGAAGAAGGTGTGTTTTCCTGTGAGCAAGAAGAACCTCGCGGAAAACAATTATGGATTGATTACATTTTATATCAAATATTCTACATGAAATAAAGTAACTGTTAATTGTCTTATGCTTGGTGAATTTCTGTATAAAATAATAATAAAGTAACTAGTTTGATAAAAAACAAATTATTTTTTACTAAAACATTATAGTAAAGGTACCTACTATAAAATATGTGTAAATGCGTCATGTCGATAATTTTTGGAATGTTTTTGATGACAAAACGTCATATAAATAAAAATTATAATCATACAAACTCATACTATAATATGTTTTACATTAAAATAATTATTATTACGTCCAACACACATCATTACAACGATAATATGTATATAAAAAAAAACTATATTAATATTGTAGTGCGAATCGCTGAGAAAATAACAAACAGGTTATTAGGAAAAAAATAATACATATAAATAAGACTTTTAGATAAAATAAACATAGGTAAACAGGTTTGAGGTAAAAAATCTATTCGTTTTAATGTTACTAATTTCTTTCAATTTTCGGGCGTCCGATTATCTCATGACTAAATTATGAAAAGAAAATATATGCGGCTGTATTTTATAATCCAATCGTAATGTGCGTAATTTCCATATAATATTATAACGTCATCATTCTTGAATTTTTTTCCTTATCAAATTTACTACTTTATTTGTAATGGAATTTCAGGATATTATCGACTGCGGTGAATCTGACTCGGACATTTTTAATCTAGCAGGCGCAATAGGTATACGACTTATTTAAATATTTAATATACGAGCATGTTCACGTGCAGCTCGAGGTCCGCCGAAAACAATCGCAGCACAAATAAGATTTCACTCGGTGGTGACCTTTACTGCATGTACCTATGCTTATATTTCATACATAAAATACGTATGCTGTGAATTTTACGGCCGTTAGTCGAAGATGGTCGGCAAGTGGTTGGTTTGTTTTCTGACGAGCCTGTACATACATCAGCCGCATCTGAATATTATTATTTTATCCGAAAAAAAACCTGATGCACGGAATTTCATCGCTGGGGAATCGAAACTGGAGAAGAAAATGACTGTGTACACCTAACTAGTATATGTATTATCTACTTATATAATTATTCATACGCCATGTGCCCACACAGCCAAAAGCAATCATATTCGAAACAATTTCTCGGAAACTCGAATGAGGTCGTGTGATCTACTGACCTCAACCCGATCGACACTATAGCATAGTATACCACCATTATTATACCGTGCAAAACTATCGGTATCATTTTAATCCGAAAATGGGATACCGTTTTTTCATTTTCCTCAAAAAAAAAAACAAGGAAAGGTTTATCTTCCATTTCCCTCCACACTTTTTGGACTAAAATCTTGTCTCTGAATATTAAAATTATATATATTTTTTCTTATCAAAGCCATTTATATTATTTGTATCAAGTATGCACTTATAAATAAAATATGTAGGAAACACTCCTGCTATTAATAATATGTAGTTAATTATTAAATTGACTATAATTTGCAATGTATTATATTTTAACTTATTAATTACTTTACTATTTTTTTATTACGACGAATTTT